AGGAGAGAAATTCTACTAGAACCGGAAGCCTAAGCGACGACGATCGAATCTCGACAACGACAACGATAATCACATTGATCAAGGCGGACGTTCGAGATCACCGAAAGGAGACGAATGGAGGTTGATTGCAACAGTGATTACCACGGCCGATTGAGGGAATCTAAAGGCAGCAGAGCTCACCGGCTTGCAGGATCTCTCCGGCGGCGACGGCTTTGCTCGGTTCGGAGTCGCCAGGGATCATGACAAATGATGTCTTTGTCCCCTTTGCTATGTAAGTATGTTGCTTGAGATGACTCAACAACCTTGAGCTAGCTCGAGTCGGACGTTTGAGATCACCGAAAGGAGACGAATGGAGGTTGATTGCAACAGTTATTACCACGGCCGATTGAGGGAATCTAAAGGCGGCAGAGATCGCCGGCTTGCAGGATCTCTCCGGCGGCGACAGGTTTCCGGGATCGGAGTCGTTAGGGATCATGACAAATGATGTCTTTGTCCCCTTTGCAATGTAAGTATGCTGCTTGAGATGACTCGACAACCTTGAGCTAGCTCGAGTCGAACCAAGCCCAAGCGTGCTTCTCGTTCAACAATTGGTCCAAGTCTTGGCCCATGTAAGTATGTTGTTTGAGACGGCTCAATTAACTTGAGTTACCTCGAGTCGAACCAAGCCCAAGTATACTTGTGCCATCCTACGGTTTAGATTGTATGATCATTCTATATTTCGTCGTATATGCAAACTTAGAATTCAATTTGTAAATTAGCGACAATATATATAAGCTATCACTGTTAGTTGTTTGGTGACAACAAGGGTAATATTATCAATTAAAATATCATTTGTCATGATCCTAAAATTTTGATCACAAAAACGAATATTAGTGACGATGCTATGACTAATTCATAATTCCAAGAAAAAAAGAAATATGGAGCCCTAAGAATGGCCATATATGTATATATATATATATATATATATATGCATCAAATTCTAAAATGAAACAAGGCTTTCCACGGTGACAAAAGCAATGAAATCATCATAAGCACGAATGACTACTTCATGCTGCAAGCCTTCGATCGCCAGATCGAAATAAACTAGTCTTCGACAGTCGCGCATCAGAATCTTGCCCTGGTTGATGAGAAGAGGCATGGGAGGACGTAATTCTCTCTCCATCGGGCGTACTCCCCTCGGCAAAGCACACAGACGGAGATGAAACCTATGGATCCACAGTCGATGGGCACCCGACTCCCGTAACATCCAAATATCCATCCAGTTTGCCTTGGCGAACCAGTGGCTAACCAAATGAATGGTGCCTTCCAACTCTGTCAATGATTTGTGGCCTCCCTCATGGTGGCGTTCAGTTTGTGGTAAAGGAACCTCTATGAGCCTTTCATCATCTAGATCAACGGAGAGAATAATGTCTTCCAGGGTTTCCTGCCTCAGTGCAAGCCAGTACATAGTTCCAGTTGCACTTGGTCTTCCCATCTTTATCGAAGTAAACGTGGTACGAGCGCAGCTCACGTCCACCTTCCTCCATGTACTTCCGCCAACAGTGAGTACTTCCATCCCCAACCCGTTCGATCGGGTGTAGAACACATGGATAACTTTATACTGTCTTGAAATTGGATGGTATCCTAAGCAAAACGCAGATAGAAGTATATCTTCGCTGGTGAAGTTTTGCGGCAAGGAGAAGCTTTTGCGAGTGGCGGGGTTGTACAGGCAGACGTCGGGCTCCATGTAGATGTGGTAGAGGCAAATCAATCCATGGCAAGGAGAAGATATGTTCAGCAGTGGGTGGTTGTCCCAGACGGCGACATGCTTTGCAGCCCACGGTGCGTCGACTACATCCAGGAGAGACAGGGCTGCTCCATCGTTCAGTCGCTTGTGAAATGTGAGGACGGAAGTAACTTGAGGGAGGAGTTGCTGTCGTTGCAGGTGAAATCTGATGAAGACAGGATCGGTTGTCATGGAGTACCAGTGTTTGCGTACACACCGGAGCTTCAAGAGGGCACTAGCGGGGATCCACGATAGTATCTCCATGAAGAGGTCCGGTGGAAGCTCCGACGACGTCTTCTCCATGTTGTTGTTGGAAGCAGGCGCTTCAGACATTGCCTTGCAATTCGGAAAACCCCGAGAAGAAGTATATCTTCTCTCTACCTGTGGTTAATTACTTAGATGCATACAATTCCATCATAACCAATACGTATGTATTACAAAAATCTTTTTTGAATATATACCTCATAATAACAAATTTATTATCAACTGATGATTAAATTCAAATTTTGATTAGTCTCTATCGAGTGTTTAAATTCATTATAAGTAAAATACATTAAATTCGGTACCGAGTCTATTCTACCATATGACTAACCTGAATTCAAGTCGAAGGTTCTTGGATTTAATATGAACCAACCAATAATTTTCTTTGATGATAAATCATTTAATATAGTACATAAAGACACGAAGATAATTAAATGTTATTTACAAATTTTATTTCATGATATAAAATTTTAAAACAATTATTTAAATTAATGATGTTGAAATATAAAGATATATAATATTTTTATCGAAAACATAAAATTGATAAAGATCAAAATTTTATGAAATATTAAGCAAATAAAATATTAAGCAATAATTTGATTATTTATATAAATATATATATATATAAAAAAGAGAACTTACAATCTCTCGAAGGAGATCATGTTTGGCTAGTCTTCCATCGACATTCTTACTTAAAGTTAAATCCCTCTAAAGTTAAATCCCTCTCAAATTAGATGAAAAAGAGAGTTGTCTATCATGATTTATATATTAAAAAAAAGGAGGAATGCATAAAACATTTTCCATATTAGTTTTATTTAAATAAAAATTTAATTAGTTATTTGTTACCAATTTATAATAAATAGGAAGTAAATGCTGATAATGAGATGTATTATATGAAAAATTAGGCAGCAAATTAGAAGGCAAATAATAATGATGAGTTGTGTATCATTTATGATTTTTTATATTTTCAAAAACATTATGATTATTACGTTCTCTCTAACCCATCTTGAAATTTGATTAACCTTCTTTCTAATATCATATTCTATTTTCTAGCTGACTTCATTCTCTATATGATACTGATAATGAACATTTAATAAAAATATTATTTTTATTTCTTAGAACATGCTTGTTTGCTTTCAAATATAGATTGGCTACTCCAAATAAGTCGCAATATATGTTTGGTGTACTAACACATGGAACATTATGTATGTTTACAACTTTGTGGCAAAGGCACTATATATATATATATATATATATATATATATGCAATTGATCCAATCTGTTGTAACACTTCAAAAGTATCAATATGTTATGGAGCTAATTTCCTATTCCATTTGAATCACATATTATCTCTTATCGAAGAGATAATCTTTAATCTTGAATTCTAGATCTTTCTCTTTTGATTTAATTACAAGATCCAAGTTTAGTCTCATATTAGTCGTAAATAAAGATTTAAAATGATATATAAGGATTTGATATATAACTATTATTAATTTAGTTTAAGTATTTTCGAATTCATACTCCATAAAATTAACAAAGCACTTATCTCACCGGGCCAAGTCATGACAAAAGGTATGAGAATCAAGCATAGTGAGAGGGAGTTTTATGGATGGTGAAGAGAAATTTAAATTGACTTTTAAAGGACTTGTTAGGTATGTAAGTATTAACTAGAGTGTAAGTATGTTGAGAAGTGAATAATTATCAACAAGGTGAGTAAGTTAATTAATCCACCATGTTATGACATGTATATTTTTTTATATCAACTATATATTATTAATAATTTTTTTTATCTATCCTTTGCATAATATTTATGTTTTCCTAAATAAATTGATGATCTATATTTTCTCTTGCAAAGTATTTCAAAGTGAGTCATTTAAATGCTTGAATGGTAATTGTTGCTATTAGCAAATTTAATTAAATGTAAATGTTCATCCAAACTACTACATAAATCCAAAGCATATGTCTTAGGAAATATTTTTTATAATTTATTATTCTTTTAAATTGTCCATCTCTTTGGGGGTGAAAATTACACTAAATTTTATTTGTGTGTCTAAAGCTTTTTATAAACCTCCTCAAAATTTTTATGCCAATCTTGGATCCTAGTTAGATATAAGTTAGTTATAACACAAAGATCTACTAGATTATCCGATGAGTAATTTTAACAAACTGGGAATAAGTAGGCACACTTAATGATCCACACCAACTCAAATTTCTCCATGTCATTTTTTTTGCTTTAGGTAGTTCTCACACATACTCAAAATTCTATTTTAGAATAGACATCTTTTGTAATTTTTTATAGGTACTAATCCAAGCTAACACTTTAAGGCTCAAGAACTCAAGATTATAATAGGTTTCATTCCCTTTTACGCAGAAAATGGTGGGATTTTTATAGGCCCAAATGGCTTGGAGCCAAAAAGTATCATATCCCCGGAATCCGGGGTACTAACGATACCATCGCCGTTACTATACGGTACTACCACCACTGATATGACCCTGGACGTTTCCACGGTTGAATAGGGGCGGTACCACCACTGGCAGCACTACTTTCGACGTCGGCCATGTTTTCAGGGTCCTAGTTGGGCCTTGAATCCGGCCCAAACCAACCCAACTTAGGGCCCAGTTGGCCCCAAATTAAGTTAATAGGATTACCTCCCAATCCTAACTTAATTTACACTCTAACTACGATAATTAAGACATGATTACTGCACTTCATGTTTCGATGCGTTAATTGCTCTTCCGGCGAGCTTCTAGCGTACTTCCGGCAAACATCCAACGAACTCTCGGTAATGCTTCGACGAACTCCCAGCAAGCTCCTAGACTTTGCGACGATATTCTTGGTGAGTTCCGACGAGCTTCTATGGCAAGCTCCTGGACTTCTCGGTTGGTTCCTACAGAACTCTCGACAAACGTCCGGACTTCTATCGAACTCTCGAACTCCCAATGAGATCTCGATCTTGACTCCGGCACAATACTACATGCTTTATGTCTTACTGTCATCGTAATTAATCCTGCACACTTTTCTTAACATATTGATTAGATCAAACAAATTACAATTGATTTCATTATCAAAATCCGAGATTCAATAATATACATATATATATATATATATATATATGTATATATATATATATATACATATATATATATATATATATAAATATATATATATATATATATATATATATGTATATACATATATATATATACATATATATATATATATATATATATATATATATATAACTTTAGTTAAATACGTAAAACCCAGTTTACGAGCGCATAGATAGTTTTGCCCATCTGTTCTGTTTTTCCCTTGGTGTCTGGCCCAGCGTTTCTCCACCAATCTCGACTCCGCAGCCATGGCACCGACCGTGATCGTTCTTGTCCGGGACGCCGACGGCTTCGGGCCAACCATTGCTGAAGCCCTCCTACCGATCCCCAACTCCAACCTCACAAGGTCGTAATCATTCCTCTTGGTCAATTCCTCTCTTTATTCTCCCTCCCCTCGGATACAAACCCTAAACCCTCAAAATCGTTGTTTGAATCAATTTTCGCTACTTTCTACTCGAATTTTTCAGGGAAATCTCTTCGTTTGAGCTCTCGTTGGAGAAATACGACGTTAAGGACAGTAAAGCTTCGGGCGATCTCATCCAGTTTCTTGATCCAAGTGGATCGCCTCAGGTTCGTCAACCTGTATTTTTATTATTCTGGAATTCTTCAAGCTAAAACATCTTGAAAATTTTTAACTTTGTTTATTTATGGAAATTTTGAATATGTTTTGGTTTCGTGTTGAATTAGTTGATATGTAACATATACTTGTACCTCTCGTAAAGAGTTCCGGAATTTCTACTATTCTCTATTGCTTTCCGTGATCATTAGATTGAAATGTTTCTTTTGTATATAAAGTAGCAATATGCGCCAGAGGAGATTATAGATTTTAACGCTCTGACAGTAATGTACAAGTTTAATCTTTTTCTCAAAATTCTTTTGCTTTTATGTTCTCTGTTGGAAAAATGACCCATGGAGTGTGTTTCATAGAGCTTACATTGCAAGAGTCATGAATGCCTGTTTTTTTGTGCCTATGTCAGAATTGGACCTAGATCTGTTTTTAAGAAAATGATTACCATGCGAGATATGAACTTGCCCCTAAAAACATTCCTAATTCTCTGAATAAATTTTATCTTAGGAGGTTTATGTTTCTGAAAAGTGGATACTGTATGATGTGATTCTGATTTTAAAAACTTATCATTTAATCGTTTCTCTAGAATCTTTCCAAATTTACACAATCTTGAGGGTTATTCTGTGGCTTAACAGATATATGATAACTTGTGTATTAGGTTTATTGTTGTCTAATTTTGCATTGGGCAAGACTCAAACTGCTGTAAACATTATCTTGAATGTCACTGATTAGTTGATTTTGACTTATGCTCTGAACTAATCCCAAAGTTTATAAGAAAAAGATTTGGATGAACCTTCCTTGTGGAGATGAGATGGACTTTCCTTCATTTGTCATAGGACGTTTTAAGATGTTTAGTTGTGATATCATGATAAATGAGCTCATTTACAAAATAGAATATTCTTCTTAGTATACTTTCAACATGTTCTTGCCAATGGAACATTTTCACATTACTGATGTCATTTTAGCCATCCCTGCAGCTCCTGCTCCATCAAAACACCATTTTTTTTGTGTCTTACATCGAGTCTTGTTGCTATGTGTTCTGTTATTCAACCATTGGAGCTTCTCCCTTGTTTTCTCCATGCTCCATTGTCCACCGAGTCCATCCCTCTCCTTGTTGGCACCAAGGCCTTACTAGAAATGATTGTGCGCAAGGTAATGACAACAGCATATGCAACATTGACTCGGCCAGCTATGATCCACAGGGAACATGGAGATGGTAAAAGTTTGGTGGGAATGAATAATAGCTGAAACTTAAAGATCTATCAGGTTTGGCCTCCTTGGGGAAAGATATGTTGTAATGTGGGTTTGGCCATTGTGAGGAAGCATGAGTTTAAGTGAGTGGGGATCATTAAGTAGAACTATTAGAAAGAAAAATATACTGGTGGTGTTCATAGTACAATCAACTGCTAATATAACATAGGATGACACTTGAATTTGCTGAAAATGAAAGAGATAGGTTCCATGGACAGAGATGAAAGGAGAAGAAGGGGAGATTATGGGTGATGGAAAGGTATTTTGGAATCGTTCTTCTTTTTGTGGGATATATCTGACCAACATAGAATATGATGGTTAAAACTTCAAAGGGGGAAGAATGGATACACTCTTCTCTTAGGAGGGCAGTCCATCTCCATATATGCATGCATGAAAGTCAGTTGTACTATTGTATATTTATATGCATATGAATCCTCTATTAATGGATGTGGGTGTGAGTAAATGGGAGGATGGATGTGTGTGTGTACATGTACTTGTGTGCATGCATGTTCTTGTGGTACAAATAAGAGAATTCAAACTTCTTTGATGAGGACATATATGTAGATAAACATAATTGATATTACAGAAAATTTATTATCGAATTGAAGGAATATACTCGAACTTTTTGGTCTAGGAAGTTTGATTGTACTGTTAAGAAAATTAAAGATGTTTATGTGATGATAGTTTGTCATAAATCATGACAGGTTAGTGTAAGAAAAAAATTATTCGTTGTTTAGCTGTTGAACTTTTTCACAAGTGACATCACGTACAATTTAATATTTCCATGTTGCATTATCTAACTGTAAATATCATGTTTTAGGCCATCCTCCTATTGTAGCATTATAATATGCTTTATCTCATTTTATATTTTCATGGACGAAGACAATTGAGTTGAGAACTTGCTATTCATCTTAGGTGTCAATCTTTATCCTGCAAAATTATGAGCCTCCTCTTGCCGCATGTGTCACCAATGAACTATTGGCATCATTTTCTAATGAGACTACAATAGTACTTCCATTTGTGATGAAAGCACTGAAGATCAACAGGGAAGAAATGAGTGGACACTCGGTTGATCAGGAAGTGACACTCTATGCTGCCAAAATAGGTGGAATATCTGAACTTACCAAGGCCATGATTAGTGGAGCTATCAGTGCACCTCCATCCTTGCAAATTCATTGTGAACTGTTGGCTTGTTTGCTGCTGATGGCACGAATTTTAAGCTTGCCAACAGTTCTTATTGCAGCAGGTGGTCAACGTTCTAATAGAAAGTCTAGCAATCCTGAGCTTGAGGTACATGAAAATGCTCCAATTTTATGTTTTGGTGATTTCTTCCTACTTTGGATTTTCTTTGCTATTTACATCTCCAGATATAAGCTACTTGTTTATGAGTACCACATGCTGAATAATCAAATGGTTTCTGCTGCCTAACTAGGATAAAACTTTAAATGAAGGGGAGTTGAGATAATCATATTATTTTACCAATTCTTAAAGGAAAAACATGAACTAAAGTCCAACTAGATTATGAAGACAAGAAGACTCCTACTATGAAGACGGAAACATTTCAGAAATTTGCTGTCAAACTATGCAACTATAAAATATATCAGTGACAAGTGCAAATGCCCCCTTTTGGAAATTAAGCTTGATGCAGCCATGTGATCCACTGATGGTTTTTCATGGATGTCTACAGATGAAATGAATCCTTTATGATTTTTTTTCCTTGTTTAAAATGAAGCAAATTCCAATGTATTCTAAAATGTTTAGATGTTAGTTAGCAATCTTCCTTCCAGTACATAATATGGTTTGAGAAGTACTGTAACTTGGAGTTTCCTCCTCGATGTGTTTCTCGAACAATAGTTCATCCATACATAACATGTTCTACCTCTGTGCACCATGTGAATGCTTTTCCGTGTTAAATCTTGAATATCAACAAATGGCCTTAATTGTAACGTAATTGGAAAATTTTGGTCTTTAATTCATATGAACACTCATCAATTCCCATCTATGGAGATATGGTGTGAATCATGTTGTGTTCCATTGATGTCATGTCATCCCAGGAGAGCTCCATCAGGAAAAAGTAAAAAAAAGAAAGATAACACTAGTAACAAACAAATAAACATGCTAAATTAGTGACCCCACAAGTTGACCAAGCTTGTTAACAGGAGCAATCAATGAATCACATCCAGGTGGGCAACTTTGATCATATTTTATGACTAGTGAATACTAAGACATACATTTAATATTCATTTACTTAGATGCTACCATGTGATTAGTGATATTATCTATCAGCAGATTAGCTGTAGAGTGTAATTAATTAACTCATGATTAATTGTGTTCAACCCTTTCAGCAGTGTCTTTGAATTTCAGATTTTTTCTGAAACTTATTTTGGGCTTCCCACTAGTATGTCTTATTAATTGACCAATAGGAAAATTTTGAACTTTCAGATTGCATTGCATATTTCATCAGGGAAGTTAGAAAGAAAAGAGCACAAAATTCTAATAAAATCTTTTGCCATTAGACCTAGAAGTACTGTCTCCATTTATTTGGATCAGGCTTAGAGGTTTCTAACTTTGTTGTTTATGTTTTCTATAAGTTGCAGCAGTCAGAAAATATCTCCTGGCAATTAAGCCAGGCAAGAATTACTTTGTTGCTATGCAGAAATCTAATAGTTCATTCTGCTTCTGTATCCATACTTTTTGCAACTGCCTTTGGATCTAACTACTTGCTTTGTGCTTCTCAAAGCATGCTTTCACCTTTTCCAAATTCCTCCTATTTGTCAATTTCAGGCACTGTATGAACTGGGGCAGTTAGTAGCAAGCAATCTTGGTCTTTGCTTCTCCAAAGACAAAATTCAACAAAAGCACCCCACGAAGTCAACTAGTGTTCAAGAACCATGGCGTGCGTTATATGGATGAGCTTTTTCGGCAATCTATTTATATGTTAAAAATGATAATTTCATGGCCTTTTGTTGGCAAAACATCTTCTGATTCATGTTATATGTAGACGATTCGCCAGTTCTTATGTGGTAAGAGAGTGAATCACCCTGCCGATAACAGGTGCTGTTCTCTCTCTTAGGCAATTTTATTCATTCTCCCCAAACGCATTTATCTTAATGCTAGAGTGCTAATCTCATGTGGATGTATATCCAATTTCTAAGATAATATTCTTGTTGGTTATAGGGCTCTTAACACCTTGATAATGGCAGTTAGACAGCACCATGATTGTATTTACTACACTTTTAATCCATGATTAAAAGTGGATTAATTACTGCATCGTTTGTTATATGGAACGATGATCTTTAACATCACCAGCTTTACTGATTAATTTCATGGATTCAACTCGAGTCTAACCTAACTTGATCCATTTTAAAATCCATTAGCGTATGACACCGCTGAATAAATGGAACCCATCCATCGAAATTTTGAAGTGCACGGTCTGTTTCCCGAACAGTTCACCTTACCTGCTAAAACTTCCCTTTCCAAACAAAGCGAAGGGGACGAGAGTGGCAATGAGACGATCAGATCTCAAATCTCAAATGGGAGGCCTCCTTCCCCGTCAAGCCATCCTCCAATGCTCCGCCCCTCGCTTCACTGCTCGAACCATCTCTACCTTAAGCTGCCCGCCTACGGAGCGTCGGCTGGTTCGATAAGATCAAGGTCGTCTTCATCGGCAAGCCCTCGTCGGACCTCCAAAACCTCCTCCTCTCTCATTGGTGAGAAGCAGAAGAAATTCGTCTATTTCCAACCGTCTTTTGGTTTTTAGTTTTGATTAAGTGATTGCCAAATGGTTTCATTGCTGGGATTTTGCTTTGGTGCTCTGTTGATTGTGCCGATCAGATGGAGAAGGCAAGGACGCTGGGATCGTTCAAGAGGTTCGAGGTGGGCCGGTGCGGCGAGGCTACCGTCTCCGACGCGTTCAAACAGCATTCTGCGATCCTCCGTTACGTCGGGGTCGTCGATCCCTTTGCTGAGGTTTGATTTGATTTATACGCTTATGGTTGGAGTCTTTATGTTTATTTATCTGAAAGAGGATAGTTTCACACCCGAAGATCATATTTTAGTAGTATAAATAAGTGTTATGTGTTTGCACAAAGTAGTAATAGGTTAAGTGCATATAATAGTAGAACCATAAAACTAAAACAACGAATGCTTGAAGATCCAAGTCAACATGAAGGATTTCCAACCATTGATGTCTTACTTGAAAAGAATAAAAAATTAAAATTAGAAAACAAAAACTTAAGTTAGCAATTAGAGGAACAATAAGATTTAGAAAAAGAGTATTCTGACACAAAGAAATATGAGAAGTAAGATGAATATTATGTTAATCATACGGAAATTCATAAAGGAATTCAGAATGAAAAAATTTGTAAAGGAAGTTCAAAATTATATTCGGAAATAACACAAATAAAAAATATGAAAGCAATCTTGGAATATCAACATGAGCATTACTACTTTCTATGTTATCCAGCAACAGCATTTATACCGGTATCATTACTATTCTGGGAAGAAATAATATCTCCAAATCATCACAGAGAATATTACCAGAATCACAATGTTAACCGAGAATATGAAAGCATAATTATAGCTGAAATCTTTGGGATTAGAAAAATTAAAAAATATTTTTTTTAAAAATGGTACATTGAAAATGGGACAAACTCAGAAATGGTAAAAGATTATCATATTTTCTTTAACGAGGACTTGAGGAAGAACTAAGCTTCTATAGATACATTCCAAAAATCGAGAGAATATTCATTATAAACTTAAAACAGTTATACTGTCTATCAGCATAAGAGCAATCTTGTTAAGCAGAATGAACCAAGAATGAACAAATGGTCCTTGGATATTCGTAATTTTTAATTCATTCCTCGGACAACTTTCCATTCACTTTTGTACAATTAGATCTCATTGAAGCCAACCGAGGAATCAATCAGGAAGTACAAGGCACATTATATTGTGGATGACAGAGTTCAGTATGGAATGATGCTTGTAGCTGAGGGCCCATGGTATGAACTATGAAGTTTATTTGGACAATTTGAGACTGTATTCACTTGTGTTGTTGCTTGGGTTTCTTGATGTTTACTAATTTCTTGCAGCACATGAATGATGGTTTCCTATGGAAACTCTTGTCTTCGATCTCCAGTTCAGCTCCTCTGAATGTACCATCACGAACCATACAGCATATGGTTCCACAAGTAATTTTATTGTTTTGCATCTCAATTCATTAAAATTTGGTACTGAATAATCTGAAGAGCATTGATCGTAGTACTCCACAATGCACACACACGCTAGAGCATGAACGAACAATGAGAGAAAAGGGGAAAAGAACTTAAAAGTAGGTTAATCTTTTCAGCTTGGTGACATCAATCTGTATTCTCTGTTTTCTTGTATGGAAGCATGAAGGTGCTGTGGAATGACTTGAAACAGAAAGAAGCTTGCAGATCGAATCCGTCCGGGAAGGTTGCAAACCTGGTAAGTTGTAACATAAGTATCTCCCCTTTAAGTTACAAAAAAGGCTGAGGTTTTGTTACTGCATTAGGAATTTCAGGTTGGATAACCCAATAATATTGTTAAAGGCAAAGTTGCTATTTCAGGGTTGAACTGGTGCAAGTGCGAGGTTAGTCGAAATTACAAGTGAATGCTTCAATTGTAGGTTTCAGAAGTTCAAAATCAGGTGAACTTGTATTTATCATGAAGCAAAAGTAAAGGCGGATAATTAGTTCAAATTTACGTGGAAATAACAAGGCTTCTTTGGACTTTTATATGCTAACTCATTGGTGCCCTGATCACATAATGTAGTTAGATTTCAACTCTGGTGGGGCATGATACCCCTCTTCTTTTTGCCTTCATCATGGTAATCTCTCTCCTTCAATTACATGGTAAGACTTTGAGCATGATAAAACACTGCTAAGGTGTGTAATTATACACATTTCATCTGTGTAAACAGGACTCAGGAAGACTTTTGGGATCTCATTTTCTTGTGCTTGATGTGTGGGTCTCACGGTCATTTCACCCAGAAAAGATAAAAAGGAAAGCTCTCCCCTTCCTTCTAATCTTCTGGTTCCGAGTATGGCTGCTTTCCGTGGTGGGGTGTACTCATCATGCTATCTGCCGGTCCTGCCACTACCAACGAACGGTAAGGGTTTCTCTATCTGACATAGATTTCTGAACTTGATTGAATTGAATGGTAGGACTGAGAAAAAAAATCGAGAATTGATTCATTACCTAGTTCGATTCATTTATAGGATTAGTTATATTAACAGAAAGGACCGATCAGTTCTAGTAACGCTCGTGAATTTTGGTCGGATTGGATAATATTGATGTGATTTTGTATTATAGTTAAGATTATCTAAATATCTTTCACTTCAATTTTTTAATTGTATGTTATGTAGGAATTTACCTTAATTTTGAATTAAGCTTAAGGTGAGAAAGCTTCCCTTCTTTGGTAATTGTCTTCCGTTCTTTTCGTTACTCATCTCCTTCCGCCTTATTCTCTCTCGACACCTCTCTTTTTAATCATTCAATCTTCTCTATTCTTCTATCTTTGGTTACAATTTAGCAGACGATAAATTGTTATTCAGGTTGTCCGTCAGCAGCAGAGCAGACTTTTTGAGAATGTGATCCTTTATTTACAAGTTACTTCCTATAAGAGAGTCCAGTTTCGAACAGGGATTGGGCTTGATCAATGTCAATAAGAACAGTGTCAGCAGTTGTTTGGAACCTCTGGAGAATGGTTGTACCATCGACATTTGAGGGTGCAGGCAAGATAGATGCACTGGAAGCTGTTGATGATCACAGTTCCTGGATAAGATAGATCATCTTCAACTACCATCTGGGCTGGGCTTCGAAGACCTATTTAGTCCATTCATGAAACTCCAAATATTTAATTGAATTGTGTTTCCTGAACACGTTCATAGTTAATGATACCTTTGCTTACGTAATGAGTGGGTCCCAGGTGGGACCGGTTGCTTCTCGTGTGGGTGGGTGACGGAGTAACGCACGAACGAGTAGGACAAGCATCGCCTCGAACTGGAATGTTCTGCTCCCTAAGACAGGACAACACACCCGAAGCCGGCACGTGATACGCCACGGTCGCGGTCGCTCCACGTCACGCGCTCCACCGACCGCGCGCGATGTGAGGTGGCCCCTCCATGTGATGATAACGTGGCGATGATTGACCAACTTTCTCTGCGCGTAAGTCCAACGCGTCTCATCGACTCGACGCCAGCATGTAACGTGCCGGAGTGTCATTGTGAGAGCCGTCTCTACTCGTAACTCTTTGAACGAGGTATGCACTACAAGATCACTGGATACCATCGAGTGGTCCAAACCTCAATCAATTAAGCTGCTGCTGCTGCCTTTCTTCCTACTTTGGGATCTTCGTATCTGTTTTTTCTTTCTTTGTATTCTTGGTGACTGTTGGGTTTTACACGTACAGGAGAAAAGGAGTGCTCAACTCAAGATATGGGGAAGATTTGTGCCCTGAAGTAGTTTTATACTTCAAATGCTGACCCAGTCATGCAACTTGTGAGATGCATTTATGCAAACAAGTAGCGGTAAGAAGATTGTTTATTAGGAGTGGTGGAGTTAAAGACACTGTGTGAAATGTCTAGGTTCAATGAGCCTTCCCCATGAAAGGACAAGCTTGATTAGATAGATGGCTTGCAGGAAAGTGACCGATGCTAATATCAACATGTACAGCTAAACTGGAAAGGAAGTAGGATGTTGATCTACCACAAATCCAGTAGGAGTCTCAATGAAACGACGATAAGATCTGCACGGGGCCTCTGTCAGCGACATGATAGGGTGTCTCATGCCCCATCTCCGTCGTGCTAGAACAAGCTCAACCCATGAAAGTGTGTTTAACAGTCTCTCTGTCCAGGACAACACAGCTGGTTAACGTCATACAAATTAGCCGATGTTTTGGATGATGTGCACGTGGCAAGAGCCTGTTGTGTTCATCGGGTGTCCATCCTTTTGTGCCAACTCTCAGAACATTCAAATAAGCCACACGTTCTCCAACAGTGGAGGAGGTGAAGTAGTGAACCTTCTCGTCGGTCCGACTGAACCCACGGGGAAGTGGAGAAAGGAGACTCGTGATGACGGAGACGTGTATGTGTCGCGCGGTCACGGGGCATTACTGGGTATAACCTTTTGCATGAAGCCACGTAGAAAGCATGCAACTGTGTGGGAGCCATGAATACGAAAACTATCATTATAGCTCTGACATGATACAGCATGGTGGGGCTTCATAAGTTGACATGTGTCATCGAAGGAGCACCATGGCGCAAATATTGGACTAATCCTGTGCCTTGTTGGCAATGCTTGATAAGCTCAGAAATAAATGCAACACAAGAATAAATAAATAAATAAATTGTGGTGGTTTGCATGAAATTATGTCTTGGCATCTCCTCCATCATCTGCATGATTAGGATGAGGAATCGATGATACATGTGAGCACAAATAGAGAATGAATATATGGTGTTCATTTCTATATATTAACTCTGTCATGATTGAGTGCTTTGGGTGTACGTCATTTGGAAGAAGACGGAAGCCAAATGACATGAAAGAGTTTAGTAAACTGAAAATAAACCTAACATTTTTCTTTTCGATGTCAATTAGCATTAAAATTTTCCAACTAACATATTATTCTTCCAAAATGTTTGGCTATACTAAAATACTTTTAGATGTCAAACTTCTAATATTTGCATTAATAATTCCTTAAATAAAGGAGAAAATTTGTGAATCCATTTTTTTTCTATTTAAAAAATATCTGTACTGATTTAGTGAATTAGATCCTACATCGGACGGTGGAAAAGTCTCAGATCATGTTTCCTGTATATACTGTGGAGCACAACGTACGCTTCTTGATGACCACATTAGCATTACATGTCTTAGGTATAATACTGTTAAGTAGATCACTTTCGTACTTACTCGTGTAACCCATAGCTTCACCTGCCTCTTCATTGGATAATGAAGCTGGATTTTTCTCCCTCTGGGAACATTGGTGTGGCGATGAGTAAGTTAAGTGGTACGCGCGTGGAAAGGAAAGAAGGCAAAGAAAGCGTGTCAACCAAACCGAAGTGAGCTTGACAAGTGACGCATCGCCAGGCAGCAAAGTTCCAGAGGCGGAAGCGGGCCGAGAAAGCTGAGAGCCGTGAGGCTACTGCTCCCGGATCTATAAATAAAGCCACCGCTCTATCGCTCCTCAGCTGCCCTCTCATCTCCCCCTGTTTGTTCGGAAGAGGAGTCCATCCGAAGAAGAGAGAACCGTGCCATTAAAGTGTATGTGCTTTGGGTTTACTTTTTATCATCTTGTTCATGGTAGTCAGCCAATCTGGCGTTTTGGAGCACAGAGATAGGATCTTTTTTGTTTGGGAAGCTTGTTTCTTGTATAAAAGTTCGATCTTTGTTGGGTGTGCGGTATCGGTTGATCTAGTTCCCTTTCTGGTTTAATCGAGTTCTTTTGGCCTTCTCCTAGATGGAAAACCTAGATGTCTCTTTTTGTTATCTCTGTAATCGTTCTCGATCCATTTATAAGCCGATCCTTTCGCCCCCTCGAATTCCTTCGGGGTTATATAAGGCTTGTGGCGCGAATACTTTGATTTTGCCCAAATAAAAGCTCTTTTTTCTTTTATTTTCTTCCGATCTCATTCTATCTTCTATATTTGTCTGACTGTTTCACGGCAGAAGCGAAATCTTTTTGCCTTCATTTTTTATTTGAAGGCGATCTGGAGTAGTTCGAGCTAAAAAAAATAGATTAGATTGCAAACTGTTCGTTCCTTTTCTTTAGCCTTCAGCATACGAGAATTACCAAATACCTGTGCATCAGATCGCTGAGTGGTTCGCTTTTGAATGGTTCCGAATCTTTCTTGATCGTTCTCTCAATAGATTATCACTCAAAATCTCAGCTTTTCTCATGAAATCCAACTTTTGTCGCAGATCGAAGCCAATCGGATCCCAACCGTCTTCTTTGATCCCAAATCTGCTAGAGGACGAGTCCTCCGAGCTGCTAATCCGTCGTCCATGGGGCTGTCGAGCCTGCCGACCCCATCCGAGAGCGTGCTCACCCTCGTTCTCGTCAACACCGCTGTCACCGTTGCCATCCTCAAGGAGCTCCTCCGCTCCGTACTCCACCTCCTCCGCCTCCGCGTGCCGCCGTCTCCTCCTCCGCCGGCCGAGGGGGCGCCCGAGTCCAGCGTCACCGACCGATTCCGCAGCCGGTCCAGGCCGATCACGTTCGGCTCGGCCCTGGGGCGGAGGCGTGCACAGGCCGATCGGCCCGCGGACTGCCGGGTCTGTCTCGCCCGGTTCGAGCCGGAGTCCGTGGTGAACCGGCTCCCCTGCGGACACCTCTTCCATAGAGCCTGCCTGGAGACGTGGCTCGACTACCACCACGCCACGTGTCCTCTATGTCGCACCCACGTCCTCGAGGGCGAGGACGCCACCGTCTCGCCCTCCTCCGTCATTGCTTCGTCTTGGACATGGTTTTAGGCGGGCGGAGAGTCGCGTGAAAGAAAGCCATGGGGGGTGGGTGGTGTGTGTTGCTTCCCTCCGGTTGATGATGGTGGCGCGTTTGGTGTGGTGACATTTCTTTTTTCTCCTTTTTCGTCCTTGTAAATATTAAAATAGTTGTGTGTACAGCCACGATGTAATCTAATTTATTCTTACCAATCACTGTCTCTTTACTTTTGGAGGCCAAAACTTTCTCTTTTTTTTAGATTTTAAT